ACAGCCTTTCTGTTCCATCCAGCTGGTCTCTTGTATGGATAGTCTCCTCTGGAACAGTTAGTGTCATCTTCCTTGTAGTTAGTAAAGTCATAGTCGTACTGTGGATCGTAAGCAGAATCCGGGATATAATAAAGTTGTTCTTCATCGTCGGCTTGTGTCTTGGAAGAGCTGAGGTGACCGTAGAAGACATCCTTGATTTCGAGTGCTTTCACCTCCTTGCCTTGTTCAAGCAGCTTTTGTACATTCTTTTGGCTTATGATCTTTACACCAGTGATGACAGAAAAGGCTGATGCTGTCRCTTCGTATGTTTCTTGTGTCGTCCAAGTCGTTACTGGTGTAGGAGTAGGAGGAGGATCATCACCATCGTTTTCACCTCTAAAGTACTTCCATACCCACAATCCACCAACCATTACACCACCTATAAAAGGAACTGCCATTTGGGGACTTCTTCAGGTAGTATATGCGATTTTCTCACGTTAGCTTGGGCGTCAGAACTGTTATGAACCTTTATCGTCCTTAGGATTGCTTTTATAATCGTAAAAAATTGTCTTCTGTGACGGGTCTAAAATTGATGTCTTCGTTCTTTGTTGACTTTAAGTTCCGAATTTTTCATGCGAATTCGCACGCGTCTTTAAGACTGTAGTCACTGGTTGCTTAAATCATTTAAAAAATTTCCAAGAACTGTTATGAATATAAATGCAGAACATTAGGAATCAAGTTCAAGTTCCACAGAAATGTTTATTCGTTTCTAATTCTTGGAAAATAATGGAAGAGAATGGTCTCATAGCAACAACCTGAATAACTTCAGCCGGTTATTTTATTTATGTAAATCCAGTTCAGTGTAATTGTRTCAAGTTCCCAGAAATGTTTATTCGGCTCAAGTACTAAATRAATATGGGAGAGAATGGTCACCGCTTCCCTGCTAGCAGAGTCTCTCCTCTTTCTCTCCCTTCTTTTAGGCGGGGAGGAGGGAGACTCTGCCGATGTAGAGCGTTTCCTTTGATACACCGCCGTCCACGTTCGTGGACGAACGAAACCAGTTTTAAAACCGGGTTTCAACCGGGTACATGTGGTGCGCATAAGCAAATGTAACACACCGTGGCCCCAAACGTTGTTTGATTAGAACGGCTGTCAAAATCATGACAGCGTTGCTAAGTTACACCACGCAGGCGCGACAAGTATAACATCCGACATCGGCAGAGTCTATTTTTCTCACTCCACCAAAACAAAAGGAAAATAGGCTCTGCTAGCAGGGAAGGTCACCGCATAAACAACCAGAATAACTTTAGTTTTTAATAAATATTAACTAATTTTGCGTTTTCAAATGTATGTGTTTCGATCGTTTTAGTGTGGTAGCGAGACTTGCAAGGTGTCTCGAAATAGTTTTGGCACCAACCAATAAAAAAAAAACGATTTCAATTTACTTTTCTTTGGACGCGTCTGAAAATTCGTCCAAATTCTGGAAATTTATTGGTCAGATAGAATTATGACTATATATTGACTAAGAATCTGAAGTTTCATGAAAATCGATGTATTTTTAAGCGAGCAGGTGGACAATAGACCCCTTGCATTGAGTCCTCAGGGCCCGGTTGTACAAAACCCCGATTAAACTAACCTAGGATTAGGCCTAAACCGGGTTTAAATTCTCTAATCGCGGTTTAGTTAATCTGTGGTTTAAATATCGTTTTTCAAAGCTAGATTAGGGGGTTGATTAACTAACCCCGATTACGCGACTTGATCTACGATTAGCATCCCAAAATGCACTAGTGTTTATGTTCTTTTCAAGATGGCGGCTTTACCTAATGAAGCTTAAAATTGAAAACGAAGTAAACGTTGTAATAAAAAAAGAACGTAAAATTGATTTTATTGCATCGGACTGCTGTCTTAGCCAAAAAAGTCGAGGAGAGTACAGAGGTTTTGCAAAGTAAGTTACGAACTTTTTAAGCAAGATTTCGTCTTGTCTTTCGGCTCTAGACACTGGTAAATCAAATTTTTCATGTAAATAATGGCTTCTCTTCCGAATCTGTATTGCACAGAAGTTCGCTGTCAGTGTATTCCTTGATACAAGAGCTTTTARACCTATGTTTTAAACATAGCTTCTTTTGCGTAACAATAGATGGCCTATTGTTCTGTCCACGAAAAACAATTCCTCTTCGGGATTTGACCTTTGCTAAAACGCTCACTTTGTGAGGCAAACAAGGACATGGATTTCAAGTTTCTTGAAGTCATTACAACAATTCTTTGACCTATTGATGATAAAATTTGAAGCGTTTTCTAACTGTGAAACTTGCATTCTAAGTTGGATCGAGCCAGTTGAGAGAGTGCTCGGGTACCTGGAGGGTSCCTGAATTAAAACGGGTATAGCTTCTGTTACGGACTGGAGTTACTGCGATTCCCAGTCACACGCGATCAACTAGACTTTCATCACAAACAAAAAATTGAGTTTTAGTGGACGTCAATCAAAAAGGTTTCTATCTTTTCTATTGGTTTCTACAGCAGGACCGACGCGAATACTCACGTGAAATCACACACACCACGTGCAAACGTGCAAACACCGTTCKTTGCCCTCATCCCGGCGTAATCAATCGAATGGTTTGGAAATCGAATGCACTGAACGCAATTACATTATCGATTGCTAAAAACAATTGTGAATTCGGTTGCATTCGATTTCAGTCGAACGCAATCGAATGTACAGAATGGAACGTAATCGAATATTCGATTGTGTTCGATGGGCTGCAATGTTCGTGAATTCGAATTCATTCGGTTGCAGAATTCGATTTCATTCGATTGCCGAAAAATATCGGGGACATTTCCTTCTTGGTTTCAGACCCCAAATTTTACCCCTAAGCAAGGCCCTAAGTTATAGCAAAATTGATCATTTTTCGATCAAAGTTTAAATTTTCATGTCGTTTTGCTGTTTTGACTCAACAACAACTTTATTTTGTACCACTCTCTCTCTTATAGGATTTACAGCATTTTTAAAATATATATATACAATATAGATAATTTATGAATAAATCTAAATAGTATAAAAAACACAGTTATTTATAGTATATATACCAAGGCAGATAAATGAAAAGAAGATACAGGTTGTCTGCAATAACCACAAGGCTAAGTAAAAACAGGCAGCCCGTTCTATGTTATTAAGGAAAGATGATTTTAAGTTAGATGGCACAAAGTATAGTGTTTGTTACTGATATAA